AGCCTTCCAGACAGCAAGTTTGGCACGGAATTTATTTACAACCGGTTCCCATAGCTTCTTTTCCCCTGATTTACTATCAACGGGCAAACCCAAATAAAGGAAAGGTGCTCGACCAACCCCGCAGCGTAACATTCCCGCTGATCCTTTTAGCCATTTCTCCGACACATTATACCCGAAGACACTGCTCTTGTTAAAGTTTATCCTCAAGCCGGACATAAGCTCAAACCATCTTAAGACGTCCTTCACCATACGTATGTTCTCAGCGTCTGCTCTACCCATAATAATTGTATCATCAACGAACTGGAGTAACGACACGGACATCCCTTGCTTTCCAATCTCAATCCCCTGTAACATTCCTTCCGTTACTGCTCTTTGTATTAAACCTTGTAACCCCTCTGCAATCAACAAAAAGAGAAAAGGAGATAAAGGATCACCTTGTCGCAATCCTTTACCTACCTCAACTTCCCTTGTCGGACTCCCATTTACTAAAACCGAAATTCTCGCAGTTGAAAGACATTCCGTAATCCAACCTCTCCATTTCGTTCCAAAGCCACATTTCTCCATCATCCAATCCAAAAAGGACCAATCTACGCAGTCATATGCCTTCTCAAAATCTGCCTTAAACACAAAAGCTGGTTTTTTCCTCTTCTTGACTTCATCCACTACTTCATTCAACACCAGAACACTATCCACCAACTGACGGCCCCCCACAAAAGCAGATTGGGTATCACTCACAATTTCTGATATCACAGATTTCAATCTATTAGCCAGCACCTTCGCTAATAATTTATAGACACAACCAATCAAGCTAATGGGTCTATAGTCCTTTAATTCTACAGCATTCACTTTCTTAGGAATTAAAGCTATAAACGAAGAATTAAGTCCCCTCACCAATTTACCATTCCGATGGAATTCAGAGAAAAAATTGATGAAGTCCTCTTTTATGCAGTGCCACGCAAATTTGAGAAAGTTGAAGTTGTACCCATCCGGCCCCGGTGCCTTTGATCCATCACAGCTCCGCAAGCCTTCCTCTATTTCTTCAACCGAAAATGGTCTTTCTAGCCATTCTCTTTTCTCCTCCGAGATTTGCTGAAATTTAAGACCACCAGGCTTGGGTCTATTCCATGAGTCTCCTTGAAATAACTTTCTAAAATATTTGGCAATCTCATTTTTAACTGCGGCTGGCTCTTCGCACCACACCCCATCACACATAAGGCCGGCTATATTATTGTGCGCCCTTCTCCCGATAGCAACTCTATGGAAGAAGCAAGTATTTGCATCACCCTCACGCACCCATTTATTCCTTGACTTCTGCTTCCAGATAAGTTCCCTCTTTCTTATACAATCCCACATCTCAGAAAAACCTTCTTGCCTTTTAACAATCTCAGCTTCTTCTAAATCTGAAACCTCATTCTGCATGTCAACCTGCTCTACTTTTTTCACAGCCTGCCCATATAGAGCATCCATGTTCCCAAATACTTCCTTGTTCCAGCCCTTTAAAAACTCCTTTAACCGCTTTAACTTTTGTTGGCATTTGTACCCTGCAAACCCCTCCACCTCCATCTCGCTCCATTTTTCTTCAACAACGTTCTTGAATTCTGGGTGTTGTTGCCATGCATCCAGAACCCGAAAGGGTCTTGGACCCCAATCTGTTGTTCTGGACTTCAACATAACAGCACAATGATCAGAAATATTCCTTGGCAGTGCTTTTTGTATCCACTCTCCTCCCATGTTGCTCATCTCAGTACTTAATAGGAATCTGTCCAATCTGCTTCTTGCTGTCCCATCTGCCTTATACCAAGTATACCTTCTATTTGCCAATTTAACATCTGCCAAATCTGTTGCCATAATGAACTCATCAAAATCCTTCATTCCCGGACTCTCCCTTATTTTTCCTCGTCTCTCCTCAGGGCTTCTAACAGCATTAAAGTCCCCTGCTATCAACCAATGTCCTTCCTTGTCTGTTTTCATCCTCCTTAAATCCTCCCACAACTTGGCCCTCTTTTGTCTATCATTAGGGCCATACACATTTATAAGAACACATTGTTGTTTGCTTGCTCCCCATTCCCCTGATACTCCCACAAAACCGTCACCCATTAGCTCTTCCCTCTTAACAAAGTGTCTCCTATCCCATATACAAAGTAAACCCCCTGAAGCTCTAGATGAGTCCTTCACAACCCAGTCAAATTCATCAGAATTCCACAACTGGCTACAAATACCTACATCCATCCCTTCTAACTTTGTTTCTTGCAAAAACAGAAAATCGGGCCTCTCTTCTTTTACTAGCTTCTTCACCTCCTTCCTTTTCAATGTCCCACCCAAACCCCTTACATTAAAAGATATAAACTTCATTTAAACACTCCCTAATCACACACCGCCTCTCAACACCTCCAACTTTACCTCTCCGACACGTCCCTTCGGCCTGCAGCTTCCCGATCCTCTGCCTCTAATAACTTAGATTGTATCTCCTCCTCATTATTATCAAATTGGAAGCCCAACCTCTTCCCCACCCTCATCATCCGACTCACCTCATACAAATTCATCTCTCTCTGCAACACCCTATTTCTATTCTCGATACACCCATCCGAAATAGACACAGATTCAGCGGTACATACCTTGACATCCCCAGATTGTCTAGCTCCCACTCTCCTTGACTGTCTCTGTTTTGTTCTTGGTGTCACCCGCTGTGCCCCTTTCGCCCAGATTTCCTCCAAATTTTCTGGGTAGCATTCTTGAAGATATTTCTGTTTTTTGCCCTCTGTTTTTTTCCCCGATTTCTGCACTGCCGGTGGATCCCCTGTTTCTTCATTAATTAACCCCATCCTCATTTCCATTTGCTGACCCTGGACCCTCCTTTCAGCAGGCCCATCATTAATTTCTAGCCCAACAAAACTCAGCCTTTGAGGCCCAGTGCTCTGAGGTAGCCCGGACCCTTCATTCCCCTCCAAAACCGTCCCAGTTTCAATTTGTCCACAGCTTTCATCTTTCTCTAATGGCTTCGAATTTGAATTTAAATCTACTTCCTTCATTAAATGCTCTGAATCAGTACTCATATCCTCGCCGTCGCAAATCCCGTCCGAATCCAACTCAGGATCCTCGTTCTGACTCCACGCAACTGAGTAATCAGACTCCGATTCCAGGTCACTTTTCCGATCATTCTCCGATAGCCACCAATCCGGGTCAGAGCGCCACTCCTCCTCGACAATCTCTATCTCATACCCCTGCTCGCCCACCCTCAGCTTGGTTCTTTCTGATATCTTGCTAGAATTTGAGCATAAAACCAATACTCTCCCATCCCATAATATTGATTTCTTCTTTGTATCATCATGAATCATTAACACTTCTCCTATTGTCTCACCTATTGTCCGGAAACACCTCTCGCTCCATGCCTTTAAAGGCACTCCCGTTATACGCAACCACACCATTCTACTTTTCTCCTCTGTTGCCTTCTCCCATGGTTTTAAAGACACAAACCACAAACCAAACAACTCCTCATTTAGCTTCATATACTCAGCTAAGTACCCTTTGACTCTTTCAGTTAATAACATCCTTCTTCCCCCCATTGGTACTAATGAGATTGAGCCTCCATCGACATCCAAATGCTCCTGAATCTCTGATACCAAAGCCATTGATCTCACCTCTGCCACCATGCCACCCTCAAGCCATAACAGCTCCTCGACTGTTGGGGTATATTCGATAGACTCCTCTCCTTTTTCCACTTCCTTATTCTTCTCGGCCCTTGTTGGAACATCTTCCTTATCCAAAATTATGTCTTCATCCCTTTCCTGCAGCTTTTCCGGTGCCTTCT